ACCAACGTTTCGGAGGTCATACTGCCTCCATCATCAGGGCGATGAGTATGAAGATTTCTGTCTTCTGGGTTGTTGCGCTGTGTAGTCTGGTCGATGTTAACCAACGTTTCAGAGGCCATACTGCCTCCGTCATCAAAGTATGAAGATTTCTGTCTACTGGGTTGTTGCGCTGTGTAGTCTGGTCGATGTTTACCAACGTTTCTGAGGTCATACTGCCTCCATCATCAGGATGATGGAGGCATACAACTCACAAGACAGAAATCTTCATACTCACCGCTGTGAAAACCTCAAATCTTACATGTTATTACTTATTATACACTACCTTAAAACTATATCTGTTCCCAACCAATAAGTTAACATGACCACCATGTTGTGTCGTTATGTGCAGGTCAACTGAGCTGAGGTTCTCTGAACTGCATTACACTCGTAATGGGTGCCATATAAAAGACAGGTCCATCACAGTGATCCGGTCTTCTGTGTGTTCTTTGCATGGTGCGCACAACATGAACAAATATCGGGCTGATCGTGTCTATCCGTCTGTCCGCATGTTAACTCGAGAACGGCTAAAGAGTTTTTGGTTAAATTTGGTATGGACGTTGTGCCATTGATGGCCACACCAAACTCTCGTTATTTAATTTTCTATAATCGGTAATAACAACATAACAATGAAGAAATTCGTAAAACTGCGAGATTCTGTATTCTAAAATTGTGTGTGTTAATAGAAACACAGTCAGGGCCATTTAGTTGAACTGTCCTTTCGACTCAATGATCAGCATCCGAAAAAAAATTAATCAGTAAAGCAAAAAGAACAAGTTTTCAAATGTTTTTAAGTCACAGTAATGGCGAAATGTGCATCACGTATATTGGATTGCAGTAAGCTCCAGATTTTTTGGTTAAAAGTATAAGCAATTACGAGCCCGTAAATAAATCATACAATTATTCATTCACTGCACTAAAATGAATGTCGTATTAGTTTTAATCCACATTACGGGTGGTGAATTATGGATTTGTTCGTACGTAAAGAAAGAGTAAATATATATAAATTTTATCCGAATATTTTTTGCTGTGTATTTCAGTTCATCGTCAAAAATTTCATGAATTAGGTTTCCGTGCACTGGCAAATTTTACAGGCGAACGATATGAAAAGAGACATATTGAAAATTTAAAAATATTAGATTATTCACAAGAACTGTATGGGCGTTACGACTAAAAATTGTACAAACTGCAACTTTATTTTTTGTTTATTTAGGAGTCAAGGGGCCAAACGTGCAGTAGCTTAACATAAAAACTGAAGAGGAAATCTATTCGACTCGAACCCTAAAACTACCTTTCTGCTCTCTGAATATTTGCAATTCATCTACCATGTTTATTTAAACCATTACATACAGCTAAACTGCGTATGGAACTGTATAATCTAGTACTGCTTCGGATGACGATAATAATTAGCTGATTCCGATTGATTGCACAAATGAATGAGATCAGGTTCGCCAACCGCAATGTATACCACTTTGCACGACCTCAGTTACAAATAAACAATGCAGAAACTGGCAAACCCGGGATATGTCCCAGGACAGCTCAGTCAGTACCGCAACTAGACTATGGACATTACAGCCGGGATTCGACTCCTTGCACAAACACACACCTTCCGTTTCGACGACGCGTTCACTCTGGCAAAGCAACTTGGCCAAATTTCTAGTGCAGAAAGTACCTATGCTCCTTCCTCGGGCAAAAACACCGAATCATGAGGTGACTACTCGCCTTCATCTAATACCTTAGGCAAGGATGCATGGCGATGTACCTCCACTTCCCCATACATCTTCCTTGTTCTTCTTTGCATGGTATTTATTAAACATAAGAACATCATTCCCTTCACCGTCACCTGGGCATTCCAAAGGCCACACCTCAGCTTTACAATAGTCTTTGTCGAAACAGCCTCAGGCCTCTGAGGCCTGACATCCGACGGACAGGTATTCTGTTCTCTTTCCACTTTTTACCGAATGACGAAACCAGAGTCACGCTTTCAAAACGTAATTTTACAATATTGCAATTCAGACGCCGGACAGAGTACAAAAGAACAATTTTACACGTTATAATGTAACACTGTTAGAAACCTTCAAACACTGACTAGATTAGAATTGTTGCTTTTTATTCGGGTCTGTTTAAGTTTTGCGCTAGGAACGGAAACAATTAAGAGTAAGAACCTTAACATGTTTCAGATTACTGGGTTTTCCTCGATAACCAAAAGCGACTTTCAGTAGGCTACTGTATATTTCTACACACCGCACAGCAGAAAACATTTAAGTGGCTTCAAAATAACATGAGTATGGTCACACAGATTAATACAATTAGGTAGATAAAAGTGTGAGAAAACAATGTTCTTAAAGTGAGCTAGAAAACTTCAAAGGCCCATATTCCACAAAAACCTTGGACTGATTTTGTCGTGATCTTGAGGTGACGTTGACCTATCCATTACCTAAAACTGACATGAGTATGGTCATTAAGTGCCCTACAGATCGGCAGAAATATGCTTTTGAAAAAATGACTTTCAAATGACCTCGACATTTTTAAAGCCCTCTTTTCGGAAAACTCCAGGATTCATATTTTTGTGACTGTGAC